GTTTTACTGGTATGTCTCAATTGCGAATCCAAATAGCCAAATTTCTGGTATTTTCCGCAGATCTGGAGCGTACAACTTCTCCAAGATTATATCCTTTAACCTCTGAGTCCAACCACTGCCAGGATGCAATTCTGTTCAAGAATTGTGTCCAGCTTGCGATTCTGCTCTCTTAACATTTCAGTCTGAGTGTTAATCACTCTATAGACTCCATCTAACATCGCAGGAAGCTTTGGGATGCTTTGAACAGCCGCCCACGTTTTGCATATCACTCGATAAGCCAGGTAACCACCAACTCCAAAAAGCAGAAATCCTGTTATCAAAGTACAAATATGTACACATTTTCTACGTCTGCGACCGACATCGTAGTCAGGCACACAATCTTCCACTGCTGCGAAGAATCCATTGTGTTACCAGAGAAGAACGTCCCGCCTGGACAAGAGGGTCTCCTTTACCCTGTCTTCCCGTAGGAAAAAAAAAATTTGACCAATTACGTTGAGAGACCAGCTGACCAAATCCATAATTTACAAGTTTGGAGGATATGCAAAGCGAGGCTCTGAGAAAAATACAGATAAAAGCACAAAAGCAGAGGCAGGGATCAGCAGGGAGGGAGCCTGTGATGGACTGTGATGGACTGGTGACCAGTTCAGGGTGTCCCCTGCCTCTTGCCCTATGACTGCTGGATACAGGCACTAGCCACCCTCACTTATCCTGCAATGATAAACAGATAAAGACAATGGATGGGTGGATGAACTGAACTGAATTAAATTTAATTGATCCACACTAAACTGAACTAATTGAATTGAATCGTGTGACCTGAAAGGCAGTGAACTCAATAAACTTATGTGAAATGAATTGAACTGAATTGAATCTGGCTGAATTGAGGGAGATTAAACTTAACTGAATTTAACAAAAGTGAACTAAACTGAATTGACCTGAATGAAATGGAAATAATGTAAATTGAATGTAATTGATTTGAATGTAATTGAATTAAATCAAATTGAGTTGAATTAAACTGGTGCTGAATTTAATTTCAAAACTGAGGGCTGCTAGGTAGTGCAGTTGGTAGCACTGTTGCCTTGCAGCAAGAATGTCCTAAGTTCAACTCTCAGCCTAGGGTTTTTCTGCATGTAGTTTGCATGTTCTCCCCGTGCATGCGTGAGTTCTTTCCGGGTACTCCGGCTTCCTCCCACAGTCCAAAAATATGACTGTTAGGTTAACTAGTCTTTCTAAATTACCCTTAGGTGTGAAAGGTGTGTGCACGGTTGTTTGTCCTGTGTGTTGCCCTGCGATGGACTGACGACCTGTCCAGGTTGTATCCCGCCTCTCGCCCGTAGACCGAGATAGACACCATCTCCCCCACAACCCTGTACGGAAGAAGCGGGTATAAAAAGTGGATGGCTGTATGGAAAAAATTATTTCTCATGGGTGTACAGTGCCTTGTGAAAGTACTCGGCCCCCTGGAACTGGTCAACCTCTTGCCACAATTCAGGCTTCAAACATAAAGATATAAAATTCTAATTTTTTGTGAAGAATCAACAACAAGTGGGACACAATCGTGAAGTGGAATGAAATTTATTGGATGTGTCAAACTTTTTTAACAAATAAAAAACT